ATAGCGTTTTGAACAGTTCATCAGTTCTGAACGAAACCTGAACTTGAGACGGTCTACTTGAAACTAAATAGAATAAGTCTCCCTATCGTTTCACTCAGTCGACTTAATTATTTTGGGCTGCAATGATGACACAAATTATATTACCGAATGGTAATAAGTACTTTTGCATCTCACAAGGTTTTTTTGTAAATGGAAGAAGAGAGAAGAACTAGAGTTTACAAATATATATTCCATTACTAAAGAAAAAACACAACCGTGATCTGTTCTACCTAATTCTGTTAACAACACCCAATAAATTTCCCCAGTGTCTCCTATAAACTGGCGAAAACCGCATCTCTTTACCGTTTGTGTATCAAAAGTTATCTTGAAAAGACTTTTGTCCACTATATTTGAAACGGATAATAGTAACTGTTATATATAAATTATAACAAAACAAACACAAAAAAATCTGAGTTAGATTCAAGAGTGTTATGTGCAGTATTAAATAAACAAAAAGTGCCTGGCGCCAGTTGAAATAGGTAAATGAATTTTCTCATATCGAATTATTTACAGGAACCGAGAGATGCTAATTTTTCAAAAAAATACCGTGTTTCACGTACATATTGCATAGTGGCGTAGCCACCGGGTGGGCTGGGGTGGTCTCAGTCCACCCACTAAAAGTTTTATAATTCACACTACGCTACGAAAACTTCTTATACTTCTACCACTTTGAAAACATTTGGGGCAACGCCCACCCACTAACAAAATCCTGGCCACGCCACTAATATTGCAGAATAAATCTATTCATACATACTACAGTAAAATGAGAAGTCTGCCAGCTCCAGGCGATGTTTGAATAAAAAGTTATAATACTGCTGAAAAAAGCCTGAGAATATGTACCGTTCGCTGCCGCTGCCATATCTAAAACGCATTTCTTTTTTCTAATTTTTTGCGGACCTCTTATCCGTTCCACTTTATGTTGGAGCAATAATTTGGGTTTTGTATTTTTAGATAGATCAATTGTCCAGGTTCTGACAGCTCGACTTTTAAAAATAGATTTTCCTTTATTGTACACAGCAGGATCGTTAAAGATCTCCAAGCACTTTTGCTACGAGTTCTCCTTGGAAAATATTTTTAAAATTAAAGAAATTTGAAAAATAGGCTTTATTATAATCGAGGTATAAGTATTTGCTAATTATTAAAATAATTTCTATATTTTAATTTCTAGAACACTTGCATCAGCGCATGAGAAGCACAAACATAGATATCAATGACCATATGATGATAATGACGGTGAATATGTCTACATTAATCAACTCTACACAGGCCATATAAAAAAGCTAATTGGACTGTTGATCACTCATTTCTACATCTGATGAGTATTAAATAACAATGCTAAGCTAAAATACACTGAAACGGTGTCCTCTCAGTTCGCCCCAAATTGGCTTTGTAAGATCAAACAACATCAGGGTGGGCAGGTGTGAGAGTGAGCAATTTGGGACGAACTGAGAGTAAACCCTCTGAAACGACTTACACTTTTACTGTACGATCAGATACGGCAGAAAAACATTTTCAGTCTTATATTTTGGCCGAAAGCTACATTATTATATCGCAGGTTAGCACTATCGATTGATCTTTTATGTGAAAGTATTCTATTCTAACAGCAGATATACTTTTCATACAAAAACCTGTCATGTTTTGGTACACATAATTGATTTAAATCACCAATATCAATATCAAGATAATGTGACGTATCTCCACATGGGAAAATAAATTTGAATGAAGTCAAAATATTATAGACGAACGATGTGTGGCACTTTGTTATAACACAACGTCACATGTATATCAATTAAGAACAGATAATTTTATTGAACGCACATGCATTTTTACTTCAAACTTCGATAAAACTGTCGCTATCTTCTTGCTCGAACGCAAAACATTTTTACTAGATTGTAAGCAGAAAACTTCTTTAGTAATAGCAGAAGAGTCTGATTTTGGTTTTTGTATACTAGAGATGCAAAAATTATTGTTGAGCTTTTACAAGAAAATTTTTTTTGATTACTTTAACAAAACAATTACAAGAAAATTAAACATCTTCAATTTGCTGGCATCTTCGATCGTTCAAGGCATTTTCACTACATTTTGAAACGTACTAAGACTTTATTTTAAGAAAGAGTACTATGGGCAGGGTCGCACTAGTTCTCTCGAATCAGAATTGAACAAAACGCAAAAGTGGATAAGTCTGAGGAAGCAATGAACAACGTCAAAATATCATTTGAAAACTTGGTAGAACGATGGACTGTTATATTCATTATGATGAAAATATATTGACGATTTGATTCAATTCAGGAAACCCAAAGGGTAAAAGCATTACTTCATTTCACCTCGCTGCTGAGACGACGCCTCTGATGGGGGGAAAAGCAAGGGAGAAAAAGCATCGTTTAACTCCTTCTACTTCACTTGAAGTGATTTTGAAGTGTTTAGACATGTAGATAGTCAAAGAATAATGTAATGTGGTTCCTAGGCTGGGATTTTAATCTTTGTACTGTTCTTCTCTTTCTTCTTACTAAATAAAGTTTATATCAACTGTTTGGACCGTTTCAACAGTTTAGACTTAGCTGAAGTGAAGCAGTGCTTTTTCTCCCTTGCAGGAAACGTATGCACATGTGATATATTTATCTGAGATCTTGTACTTCTAAAACATTTGATGTAACCGTGTCATTTTTTCATTATTTTGTAAAGAAACAGCATCAGCATCTATAGCAGCTGAATATTTTCATTTGTCATGTATCATGTTCGTTATCATATTTTAGAACTAGTATTAGTTGATGGTTAGTGATTCTCCCCGATTTGACTGTCATTTTAGTTACTAAACAGAAAAGATGATACTGAGAAAACAGTATAGTAGAATTTTTCTATCATTAACTTTTGCAATATGAAAATAGAAAAACAGGCTGAAATTCATAGCATCGATAGTACTGATGCTAACCGACATATAGTGAAAACTTCAGATCTCCGACCCATTTTCTAGCAAAATATCCAGTTTTCGATTTATAAAATCGAACGGTATATGGCAAACAACGTTCTTTGTTTCTGTTAATGACAATATTCTATGTACATAAAAATTACAGATCACATATATGCAAACTGAATTTTAAGAATTGCTAATGGAATATTCACCGAACAGTTTAACAACGTGTTTCATGAGAAAAACTCTTTAAAAATATCTTCTTGTATTTGGAAGATCTTTAGAGATCCTCAAAAAATTTGTTTACACTGGCTTTTCCGACGGAACAATCCAATATTTAAAATGGAGATCCAGCAAAACCTTCATCCTTCCTAGTACTAAGTTTAAGTTTTAATGTGGCAATGGATTTCCTCCAATAGATACAAATTTTATTTGGTAAATTTTTTTCGAATTTTGTTTGTTTTTTTATTAATAGATAGAATTATTTTTATTTCTGTGAATTTCACTCAATTTTTTGACGAAAGAAGTGTCGATCAAAGTTAAGTGAATCGATCCTATTTATACTTATGCAAAAAAACCTGAAAATATTGGGAAATGAAAACCGATCTTAGCAATATCCTTACTATTGACTACGTACCTAATTTTGTATGCTTCAATTCGAATTTTGTAGGAAGTGAAAACAAAATCCCAGACAACCTTCGAGCAAGTCTCATCTATAGTTCATCGTGTAATGACTCTTAGGTACATTCGTCGATAAAAGTTTTTCTCTGAAGAATTTCTTTTACACATAATTCATTATCGCTTCAGATGCCGACTATGAATCTTGATTACTTCTCTGAAGATAATTTGGAAGAATACAACTGCTAATTCATCTTCGAAACCTCTGATTTTTGGAAAAATAATATTGCAAGAAAAAACATTATTATTGTTGATGTAGCACTCTTACGTTAACATTCTGGTCAATGTGCTTACCTGCAATCTGACTCTCTGGAAAGGCAAAGAACACCAGTGTTTTAAGATATGCGCGAATACTTGTTTGTTCGATAACCAGCCGACTGCTTCATAAAAATATGACAATGACAGTGTGATCTGATACCTTCAACTACACTAATAAATTGTGCTTGGTCGTCTCGCATGAAAATCAATTATGAAGTCGGTAGAGTGTAATAAGTCTTACCCGATTTATACTCTCAGTATACTGTTCCATCGGTCACAATGCATGAAAACGACAAGCCGATACATGTGAGAATTAAACAAGTCTTTGCTCTTTATCTTTTTTAACAATTGTTCTCTCTCTAGTTTTTCTTTCCAGCGACACAGAGTACAAAAATATGAATCATTCGTTGCGAAAACACACACGAACACAAATACATGATGACGAGAACAAAAAAAAAAAAAAACCAACGATCGCTAATAAATCTTTATAGCGTTTAGACGCGCTGCAGTTTCATTTTTCGTAACATAGACTGGCAGAGACACGGCCAACACAAAACAAATCTACTCGACAAAAAAACCAATAAACGACACTATAAAGGAGAACATGAAAAAAAACGCGAATACAAATTAACAAAACTAGTCTAAACAAAATGGTTGTGTTTTTTAAGGGAACAATAACAACAAATATCAAAAAACAAATTTATTATTTACTAAAATAAAGCAAGTTAGTCCAAAAATATGATGGTATAGCCTCAATATTCTATTAACTACTTTTTTTTCTCTAGCAGATCGAGATATAAAGTACAATCTTATGGCACACACAGTGTCTTTAAAAATCACTTACGACTAGAAAAAAATGCACGATTAAGAAATTATTCTATGACGAACGCAATCAACAACAAAAACCAAACGGTTCTATTCAAAATTTTCCTAGTTATTTCGATAGTACAAAAAAAACACTCAAGAAAAAACCAACCAGTACATTAAATATTTGACTTTCCAGAAAAACAAAATAAAATAAAAAATAAAAATAAAATTACAAAAGCGAACACTCACACACACACGCACACACACATTTTGTCATTATCATCTGCTTAATGAAAAATATAACAATTTTTTATTCAATATTATGTAAATTCATATCATCCATTGGAGTAAGTCTATCATGGACAAATAATTTTTCTACAGCATTCTTGAGACACTGTAGATTATGTTCGATCAAACCTAAATAGTACAATGAAACAGATGTAATGTTGTCGCCTTTAGTCAAGTCGATTTTCTCAAACAATTTGTTCAATAATAGATAAATAGACATTCACAACTGCAGAAAAACAAACATCGAAATTTAGTTACAAATAAATGAAGCTCCATTCTACCGGTTTGAACATTCGAAAGATGAACGAGAACAAATGTTGCATTCATACAAGTGATATAAATGAGACAAAAACTACATTTGAGATAAACACTAGAGAAATATGATGCATTCTAATTTATAACTAATATATCAATCAGTATCGAAAAAACACTATACATATAATGAGAAAGACAAAACTCTAAAAACCAAACAATCTCTAACTATATTAGACTAAGCATACCTTCTTTAATAGCTGATTCTTTTCGTACTAAACATATTAGCGCTAAAACTTCATTAATATCTTTAAGATATAATACAACGCCAATGCTTAATTCTATTGTGCAAAATGACATCGAATCTAACACCGGGTTATCATTTGATCTAAAATAGAGCAGACAAAAATAGGATTCTATTATCGAAATAACATAAATACATACTCATAAATACTGGCTATATCTACATAAACATCAATTAAATCACAACATAATTCATAGATTTGTGGTTCGACAGGTTTGTTATCTGTAGCCAAAAATATTTTATTATTTATATCACATAAAAATATTTTATCTAATTGTGTACTCTAAATAGCAAAATCCGTCACACGTGTGAAAGATCAAGGAAAAAAATATATACTTACGGTACAAATCATTTGTAACATATTTTCTAGCGCTCGTAATTGTTTCGTTTGATTCTGAATAACTTTACTAAATGCTTCATGAATCGAATGATCATAAATACTGGTTAAGTAAAAACTAGAAAAAGAAAAGAAACATGTATTTAAAAAAGTGTCCAACAAAGATTTTACTCTAGTTTCCTATAAATTCTTACTTAATTAAGGCGTTTTCTATTGAATATTCAATTAAAATATCAGTGAGATTTTGCTGCAATTCGCGACGAATATCCATTTTTTTATTTTCTTGTAAACCATCGACCTTAACAAAAGAGAAAACATAACAAAATTTGGTATAGAATGTTACAACGTATGTAACACACCTTGTGAATAAGCACTTCAAAACGTGTTTGTCTATTTCGCTCATACATATAGCGGATAGTATTTGTTAAAAGAACAAGTGCTTCTTTAAAATCATCCTTGAAATAAACAAGATTAACATTATTTTGTCTAGATAAAATAAAAAATATCGTACATGTGCATCGATAACAAAAATGAGTGCATTACAATCATTAGAATATTTATCAAATTCTAATGGATGCAAAGTGGTATGATTCGGTCCAGGTGGATCACGTACTTGAAATCGTACATGATGGCCACATGACAAATCTAAAAGTATTAGAAGATTAGTCTTAAGATGAAAGAACTTTTTATTCATACCGTGTATCTGAAGTATTTGTGTTTCAGGAAGTTTTAATGTTTCACCGGCAGTCATTTTGTCAAATATCACTTTTAAAATAGATGTTTTTCCACTCCTTCAATGTAAGAAAAGGATTTTATTCAATCTCATTCGAACTTTCAGTCGAATATGCGTACTTTCGTAGACCCCAAATCAGCATCTTTGTTCGATTCAGCTCATCTGTGTGATTATAATAATTGTTATGATCGCCACTGCCATTTGTAAAATGATTTACATGGCCATTTTCGAATGGCAAATGGTTCATCTAGAAATAGAAACCTAAAGTATTCCTTTCCTAATATTTTTACAGAAACAAACAAGCAAACACACAAATTTATTTCTAATCACTAAACCAAAGTAAATGTTGACTTAATTCTGCACTTAAATGATGTTGAGAACACGGATGAAAGGATCACCTGGGTTTCTCTGTTCTTTTTAAGTCAAACTTACATTGAGTTAAACATGCAACTCAAGTCATTCCGACTTTAAGATGAACCTAGATTTTACTCAACTTAGATTTTTGTGAAAAACACCATAGATCATCTGGAAAATGTTTGTCAGTATAACAGCTGATGTTTGATTATCTATTGGATGATTAACAGATCAATGGCAATGCATTTAGCATTCTTTTGTGGAGGGGCTGCACCAAAATGAATAGTTACCTCAAATCGTTAACTAATATCGAGTTAAGGGAGAATATAGTAGATTTCAATTCATTTGCACACGTGTAAATTGAAATTTACTCGCTGAATCCCATCATAACCATCTCCTTCTTTATAACAAGTGAAACTGAACTATGAATGAAACGCTTGGTAAACCCACAAAGTAATGGCGCCACTGTAAGTTTCGAAGAGTGGAGTCAACTAATAATATTCTGTCTTAACTTTTTAACTTCGATTCACTTTCGAAAGCAGCAGACTCCACTAAACATTTTCAACACAAGATAACCCAAGATTTTTGTTCGCTAGCTAGCGTAAGTTCTAATTTCAATTTAATACAATAATTGTGATAGTTTTACCACAACTAAGAGTACTAGTACATAGATTAGATGTTGTGCAGAACGGCGTATAAGGTAATGTATCGTTCGCAAAAACGTTTTGGTAAACAATTGTACAATTTACTGCTTTTCTCCGTTCGACTGATCTAATCAAAAGTTGTCTTCACTACTCCTCTATATAAGAAAATCGAAACGAAACGAATAAAAGAAAAAAACTACAATAGTTTACTGCAAAACTAAACTCATATGATCTTTCTCTAACAAAATTGATAGTATTTTTTAATAATTTTATTTAACAATGCTACAATAGAAGTTTTTTGCTTGTTTTGTGAATATAAAGATTATATAAAAAATGAAATAGCTTACGAAAAGTGACATACACTACGCTTACATCACACTATTAAGTGCAACTGAAAAGTAATTAGGCATCAAACTTCATACTGACTTAAGGCTTTAAGGTGAAAATGCTACCAATTTTTAATCATAATTAGCAAGAATCAATCGTGATTAATGAAGTGCTAATCATAATATTTAAAGAGGACTATACTAGGCTTCGGGTGCTGGTACTGGTTGAGACTCGACACAATTGACTAAGACAATTTAATCGACTGTATTTTTCTTGTTTTGTAATTGTTTCAGAAACGAATCTTCTATAGACCTTCCATGTTCACAGTTGAATATGCGACTCAAAATAGGGAAAGAATAGTGAAACCTAGAACAAGCGCAGAATCGAGGGTCATTAGAGACAGACATTCTCACACAGTAATTATTACTATAAAGTAAAACAGACAACACGATTTATATCTGTTGCCAACTGGTACATTTGACAGATGCTGTTCTGTCTCGAAAAACTTTCAACACCGTGTACTCCTCATGTTAATGACGATTAATCGTTTATATAGCACTCTAACATCATTAACGTTAGCTGCAATTGATTTAATGCTCTAAATATTATCAAAACTAGTCATGACTAGAAGTATGTTTAGATAGCATGTAGCTCAACATGTTAACTATAATTAGCAGTGTTGTGAAGCAATAATAAAAAACGAGAATAGGAATTAACAAGCAAATTATCGATATTTTTACCGTTGTTATTGCTGTTTGATGGTGGTTGTTCATGTTCATCCCTCTGACCTATCCTATGTTAGTGACGCTACTTTCCTCTCTAGTTCGTTTGATTTCTTTATCATACGGATCACATATATGCGTGTTATATTTATGTATTATTTCTTTCTTTCTCTCAGATGTTTAATTTTTTCGTCTCAGCTGTTTGTTAATGTGGTAGATATTTACTTATATCTATGTGTTTCTTTCAAATAAAGTAACCCCCTATTTATTGTTACTTCATCTTGCATACAGAAGAAGAAAAAAAGAAAGAAAAGATCGTTGCCCGTCGGCTAAAAGCTACATAGACGTCATCGATAAAAATGTTTCCTTTGAATAAAAAGAACAGCTGATGTATTGACAGAAGGCGAAAGAGAAAGAGAGATCTTTTTCCCAGTGAGACTATCCGGCGTAGGGTAAAATACAAATCTAAAGATTCGATTTTTACTTTATCATATAGTCCTTTCTCTCAATTTTACAGGACAATTTTTGCTTTTTATAATTCTATATTTGCTCAACCATTTTTTAGAGATGAGGGAAAAGTATAGCTTCCGGGATAGTAGAGATAATTCTCTATTTAACCATGCAAAGCTAATTTAGGTTTGACATAATTACAATACCAGAAAGACGAGCTATATTCGCTCCTTTTTGTTTTCTTGTACGTTTCAAATATGGTAGTTCAATTATTTTTCTGTTTCTTATTATTATAGCGGTGTCATTAAAATGCATGGCATTTTTACCTACCATCAAAAAGAAAGTTGAAAGTGCTGCTCGAAGTATAAAATCTGTGTAGAATCGTGTAAGAAAAAAATATTGAAGTCTAACGAGATAAATCTAAAATCAAAAAAACTCAACAAGCTCAAGGCTAAGATATCGGAATAACTTAAAGAAAAACAGCTGTCAAAAGTATGCACCAGCTGATACATGAAACAGAGTACACCTAACCTTAACAACTTAAACTGTTAGTTTATTGTTTGATTGTACCTAATACCGTTATAATGTGTACTATGCTGTTGTTTGCTCAAATTTTAGCGGAAAGTGAATCTGCTTAGAATCAATCACAGAATAAATGAATGATTTCAAGTTAGAATCAATAGCTAGAGATTTGTCCGACAAGACTCTATATGCGTATCCTCAAAACAATCTGAACTATTTAGCCAACGATACTTATCACGTGCTTCAGATGACCTTGCCGCTAACGGATTCTTCTGACATATTGTTTCGATAATAAAATCACGTAATGCTTTAAATATTGCAGAAAAGTTCCTGGAATATGTAAAAAAACATATCGATCAACTATGAGCAGTGACGGTTAACATTAGTGTAAAAAGTTACCAAGATTCTTTAAGTAAAAAAGTTCGTTCGTTTCGTTTAACTACTATATTTGAAACATACAAGAAAACAAAAGAGGTGAATATGGCTCGTCTTTTTGGTACCATAATTATGTCAAACTCAAATTAGCTTTGCATGGTTAAATAGAGAATTACCTCTTCTATCCTGGACGCTATACTTTTCCCTCATTCTAAAAAATGGTTGAGCAAATATAGAATTACAAAAAAACAAAAATTGTCGTATAAAATTGAGAATAGCTACTCTATAACAAAAAGTAATGCAATAATCTGAACAAGTTGATTCTATTTTTTCTTTAGTAGCATCAAAATAGCCTTTAGCTATGAAATTTTTCTGTTTCATACAATCAATTTTCTTTTGTATCTTAAAATATTTGTACGAAATAAAACATTTTTTACACATAAAACAAAAGTTTCCCAACGTTAATGTAATCAATATTGTAGCCACCAGTGTGTTCATCATTTTCTCGCATTGTCCATAAATCAACAAGTGTTTTTAGCGTAAAATAGTCTCTGCATCGCCGACATATTTTATTTTTGAACAAATGAAAAGCTGCTGTTTTGTATTTAAGTATAGATCTACATAGCTAAATCGATGTGATTTGGGAGTTGTGATATATAGTACTGGTCAGAGTCTTTTAACATAATAAATAGCTCCGCTGGAGTGGTGATTAGACATTTAGCAAATCGGGAAATATCTCTTTTCGTGGGAAGCATTTTGTGTGAGTGAAGATAGTATTACCCAGTTGATTCGTGAGAAATGAAGAAAACACACACTAAATGTCAACGGAGAGAAACCAAAAAATAACAAAGAAAAGAGAAATGAGAGAGAGGCAAACAAAAAAAATAACACATCTGTAGAGAAAGATCATAATGCGATAGTTTGTTTTGTTTGCTAAATTTCATAGAATATTCTCAATAAAAAAAATAGTCAGTCGCTATACTGTAGATTCCAAAATTTCAGTATGAGAAAGGTTATTAAAAGATAACCTTTCAATATGTTACATGTCAAATTTGTAGAGAAAATTCTCGAAAAGGGTTAAACTTTCTCATACAGCGTTTTAAAATGTTCGCTTCTTTCTTTTATGCCTTGTGTAGACAATTTGTGAAAAAAAATGACACATGATATTTGTAGACCTTCAACGTGCATTTAATTTAAGCGACAAATATTCTCATACATTGTTTATCACGTTATTTCTTACAGTGTGTGTGTGTGTGTGGAGTGATGATTTTATTCGAAGTTCAATACCGAATAAATTAAATAGATCTTTCAATCATTACATCGTGAAAAACTGACATGAAGTAGATAATCCTAATAAATTTATGGTATAAATCTGTGTAGCTTAATCAGCGGAACGTATAAAATCAATTTATACTTAGTATTACTTAGTACTTAGTTATTAGTTTTTGTTCGAAATCATCATCTTGATAAACAGTCTGCCCACACAGCAAATAAGAAAAAAAGGTAGAAAACATCATCCAGATTCTATTCAACACAATAAGACGCGATTCTTCTGAAAACAACATTATACTGAAACTTGTATAGTAAAATGAAGTTAAAGGGAAACATTTCTCGCCTATTCGAA